ATTTCAGCTGTTTGGGAAGACACTGTGGGCCCCAGGGGCAGCCTTTGCAACTGCCTGTGTACCTGTTGGCACCACATTGGTAGGCCCCTGATATTCATTGGTCCATACTGATCATTCTTTCCTGGCAGTGACACCCCAGCATCTCAGGTCCAGTGGTCTAGAGACGTCAAAGAAGTGTTTCAGTTTAAAGCATGGGTAGGCAAACTAAGGCCCGGGGTCCGGATCCAGCCCAAACGCCTTCTAAATCTGGCCCGTGGACGGTCCGGGAATCAGCATGTTTTTACACAAGTAGAATGTGCCCTTTTATTAAAATGCATCACTGGGTTATTGGTGGGGCATAGGAATTTGTTATTTCCCCCCCCAAAAAAAATATATATAGTCTGGTCCCCCACAAGGTCTGAGCGACAGTGGACTGGCCTCCGGCTGAAAAAGTTTGCTGACCTCTGGTAAAGCATTGTAAATTTAAACAGGGAAAACCGGTAGAGGAAAACTGGACTCCACGTCGCCATCTTGTGGCACAATGTTCTATCACACATACAACGCATATAAATCACTTTTTCTTTACCAGTCTAGCTCAGTCCCTATTCATCACCTACCACCTGACCCTTTAAATGAGAGATGTCAGGGTCTGACCATGATATCTTAATCATGGAGACCATATGCTGCATATCACTAAACTAATCTCTATCCAAAAGGGGAATTTCCACATTCTGTGGCAACACCTGGTGAGCAGATGCTGAAAGCGAATCAATTAGGGTCTCTATGGCCACCGTGCCCTGCTTTTGCCCCTAGCATCTGGCAAGCAGAGAGTTGCACTGCCTCTGAACACCGAGGTTCCACTTAGCTGACATAGCTAATTGTTACTGATGGTTCCATCCTCTGTGCATATAACTTAACCCATTCTGAAAGTTATTGGTGCCCATTTTGCTGTCCATATATCATCGAAACTTCTGCAAACTTCCCAGGGATATCTGGCTATCAGAGGCAGAATACGAGAATCATCTTTGCTTGATCCAGCAAGACTGTCATCATGTTGCTCTGTTTCAAGTGCGCAAAATCAAGCGCTCCTCTATATGGAAGTTCCCCTACGGACCTGGTTCCCTCCAGATGTTCTTTGACTACAACTCCCATCAGCCCCCGCTGGCTGGGGCTGATGGGACCTGTAGTCCAACGACATCTGGAGAGCAGCAGGTTGGCAAAGGCTGCCCTGTGGTGTCTTTTCTTTTTCCTCAGTGTGGGGTGGGGGAGCATGTCACTTGCTCAATACCACAGGGATTTAAACATTTCTACTCAGACTAGACAAAAATCAGACTGGTGGGGAGAGTGGAAGCGGAAGCATCTCTTAATTTTTACTGACAGAGAGATTCCACGGAGTGGGTAAATTAGCCATCAACCACTCCCTTATCTACCAGACTAATACAGCATCACAGTAAGGGGTAATCTGGTGAATGCTCAGCAGATTTTCAGCAATTACAGAGGGATCCAGTTGGCTTTTCACAAAATCCCAAGTCTCTCACCCACCTTGGGGTGCAGAACATGTGAAGAAAGGTCTTAAAAAGGGGTCTGTAGTTTGTGTATCAGTCCATTGGGCACACAGACTGAGTGACAAGTGCATTCTTCATATCCTTGCTTGATCATTAGCACTGCAAATCGATTGGAGATTATGACAGAACCCAAATTTATGTATGTTTACTCAGAAGTAAGACCCACTCTGCTCAGTGGGCCCTACTCCCCAGTAACTTGTTCATAGGCTTGCTGCTTACAGGGCAATCGCATGCATGTCCATTCAGAAATAAGTTTCACTGAGTTCAGTAAGATTTATTCCCAGTTGGTTGCATTTAGGTTTGTAGCCTCGATTTAACAGTTTTAATTTAATGTTTGCATAATTTGGGAACCTTTGGAAGACTATTGAAGATAACACAATTTTAAAAATGAAATAAAAATGAAAATGAAAACCATCCCTCAGTCTTAGCCTCACAAATTCAAATTTGCCTAGCCCTCCCCGCTCCCAAAGCCCCAACCGGTCTCAGACCAGGCGAGAACATCTGGGGCTGAACCTGGGCAGTTAAGCTAGTTCCTCAGCCCCTTACCTGGCAGCCCCAAGTAAAAACAGGTTATAATAAATACAGTTTTAATTATTATTTTTTAAATCCATCTATTATTATAGATCGTTTAGAGATGCTGTCCTATTTAACTCCCCCCCAATACGCATAGGTATAAATTAAATGGTTCCGAAAATATACAGATGAGGCATTGGGGCTGCGATCCTCTGCACAGTTACCTCGGAGAAACTATCCCATGGAAGACAACGAGTCTTATGCCTGAGAGTAAACAAGCCTAGGGACTGGGCTGTTCAAATATCTCCCAGTCATCAGATTGGGTTTAGAAATGAAGGGCTCAAATCTGGAACAAAACAAAGCAATCTTATTGCTGGAATCAAGCTGGTGATTCTCTCACATTCCGTGCAGCCCTGTCTGAGCTTATGACATATTGTTGACCAGGAAAAAGCCACGGCAGTGAGGGCGGGCGGGCTGCGGACTGGGGGGGGGGGCGCTTGGAGAAATGGGAGGGGAGAAGATGGTTAGGGGGGAGATGCCAAGTGTCTGGCTTGGGGCAGAGGGAGAGTGGGAGAGAGGCAGCCGGAGCCCCCGTTTGGCGGCGCAGTTCCCCCCCTGGGGGGGAGGCGGGAGGAGAGGACACTCCGCTCGGCGGGGGTCTCCGGCTCGCAAGCGAAGGGAAGCTTTGCTGCAGCTGAAGGCTTGTGCGGAGCAGCGCCGCTCTCGGCCGCGCAAGGGCGCATCTCCAGCTCTGGCTCCGCCTGCGCCGCGGCGCTGCTTCCCGGACGCTGACCCTCCGCCTACTTGAAGCTCTCCCCACCGAAGGCAGGGGCCCCGAGGCGAGGATCGGCCGCGCCCGGGGGAGGGACAAGGATGCCTGCGCTCGGCTCCCTCCAACTCGGCGGCTGAAGCAGCTTCCTCGGCTCAGGTAAGGCTCCCGAGAGCACCTTTCCCCCACCGGGGGCGCGTGCCGTCGAGGCGCACGGCGAGGACCTCCCGAGTGCCGCCGCCGCCTTCCTCTCCTAAGTATTGGGCCAAACGCAAATAGAGAGCAATAGCGGGGGTGCCGGAGTGGGGAGCAGCCTATCATATGTGGGTGGGCTCGGGGGGGATCTGAGGGCGAATGGGCGACTCTTTGAATGAAGTTTGGGGAATATGTGGCTCCTCCAGGCACGCCCCGTGGACAGCGCCCTCGTGTGCGCATCTGCTCAGAAGCGAGTCCCCTTTGAACTTGCTCCCAGGTAAGCGGCTGTCGGAGGGACCCACTGGGAAGGCAGGCTTCTCAAACGCCCCGATGCCCTGGTGAGGGGCGCAGGGACAATCTCTGCGTCTTGGGTTTGCTAGACCAGTCGAGTGGACGACTCCTGGCCCTCGACAGACAGCCCCAGCTGGGCAGGGTTTCCCTGCCTCCGAGATGCCTTTCCCCGGACGGTTGGGCTGCACTTTCCGGAGAGAGAGCCACCTGCTGTGGTCGCTTCCTCCTCCGGCTCCGGCGGCTGCCTGAACTTCGCGCTGCCCGGGCGCCACAGGAGCGCGGGGGAAGAGAGAGACTCGAAGGAGAGCCAGGCAGTGGCAAACATGAACCCCCCGGGTCTTAAGCATGTTTCCACGTGTGGAAGGTCCGCAGCGTCTAATGGGACTCGATGCGCCCCGGGTTACACAATGAAACCCCTTTGCCTTCATAATACTTCTTTCTGCGTAAGCGTGTTTAGGACTGAGCATCCCTCTAAGAGCCAGCCCACGGTCCCCGGTGAGCCGAGGAGGGGGGAAGATGTGGCTGCTCATCTTGGGCGCTTTGAATTTCTTGAGGGAAAGCTCCTATCCCTCCCCAACCCCTAGGAGAAGGCAGGACTCCCGCGGAGGGAAGAACAACAATGCCTCCCTCCTTCTCACTCAGGAGGGCTGGGAGGGGTCCCTTGAGGCTTAGGAATACAGAGGATTTTGCGAGGGAGGAGCAGGCAGGTTATCCCATTTTATCTGCACAAGCCCCCACCGAGGTAAGTCAGGCAGCGGGACGACTAGCCCAAGATGATCCACTGTATTTTGCTGCCACTCGAGGATCTGTACCTATGTAGTCCAAGGCAAACTCTTGGTGCCTTTCGTCTCTGAAGACATTTGCTTGTGCTTGGCAGGAGATGATGCCTGACACAGAAGTTAAGTTGCATGCAGAATGCAGTCATCACCCAGGCGTGATTTTCCTCTAATCAGTGTTTACAAGCTACCTAGAAGTGTTTTCTTGGACTGGTACCTCTTCTTTAGACAGCAGCCAAGAGGTAAAGGAGGATGGGAGAAAAAGCTGGCTGAGAACTGAGAAAGCTTTACTGTCACAAGTCTGGAGCGAAGCCCAGTTTGCTGCAGTTCCAGCCTGGGCTGCCTGGGTCTGCGTGGGCACGGCAGGTCCCACAAGGGATGCTCAGATAGAGTCACTCTCATTCTCACCTGCTTTCATCCTTTTTAGGCTCCATCAGAATTTGGGACAGACTCTGTGTGGCAGCGATGCTTAAAGAGTGTGTGCCATCTGTCGTTCCAGTCTATGGCACTCCTATACCCAAGGTTTTAAATGGCTTTTTGCTCAAATTGGCCTGTAATGTGGAATGTAATATTAACTAATATTGGCTGGGAAGTATATTCGTTTTTTAAAAATGGCTCTTTTCCACTTTCTGGGTGGCATGAGCTACATCCACTCATGCGCACATGCAGTGCGAGGGAGGCTCAAAGGCACTTTGAGATGTGAAAACTCCAGTCCTGTGTTACGGATGTCTCTCTCCTGCACTTTCACTGCCGTTCGGCCCACGGCCAGACCTCTAATATGTTCCCTGCCCCATGAAGCCATGAATCTGAAGCTGTGGCTTACCTGTTCTGAGACTCAGTGTCACTTGGTGGCTGGTGGAGACATCTTTTTGTGCCAGTGGTAGTCAATGTGCTGCTTTTCAGGTGTTTTTATAACTAGCTCAGTTGGTAGAGAAGGAGACTCTTAATCTCAGGGCCATAGGTTCGACCCCCACATCGGGCTAAAGATTGCAGGGGGTTGGATTAGATGACCCTTGTGGTCCCTTCCAATTCTATAAATCTATGATTCTACAACTCCCATCATCCCTGACCATTTGATATGCCCTCTGGGGCTCATAGGAGTTAAAAGTCCAGCAACATCCAGCACAGATTATGTTGGTTACTCCTCCTCTAGGCAAATTAGTTAGAGTTACTCCAGGGCAGTTGCTGCCTCTTTCTGTCTTGTCCTAAACCTGGGGTCCACAATATAGCATCCCTGCCAATGACCTCTGCCACGTGTGTGTGTGTGTGTGTGTGTGTGTTTAAATGAGGGTTTTGGGGATTGTTGTTGCTTAGTTAGGGGGTGCGACCTGCTTTTTGAGGGGTGTTGCCTGCTTTTTATCTCTGTTGGTTCATGTGTGAGAATGTAGACCGCCTGTCTATCGCTGTGGGGAGGTCTGAGCATCACCAGTTTTTCTTCTGTGAAATGGATATTTTGTGGAGGGCCATGACAGTTTCTTAGATTTCCAAATGTGCCCCCACTGGTCCAAAGAGATCAGGGACCCCTGCCCTAAACATAAGCTGCAGTTGCCCTGAGGGTAGACTGCTACTTATCTCTGCTTAATAACCTCTCATAACTGTTTAGGGTGGGACAGGTAGCTACTCTGAGGTAAATTAGCACCTTGCCTTTTTGGGTGTAGGAAACTAAGGTCTGCCTGACAACATTTTGGTGTCATGTTGACATAAGCTCATGAAGGACACATAGAATCACATGAATTGTAGAACTAGCAAAGACTTTTGAGGTAATCTCACCCAGCCTCTGCTCAGTGCAAGAATTTACAGCATCGCTGACAGAAACCTGTCCAGCTTCTGCTTAAATACTTCTGCATCTTGCAATATATTCCCCAACAACAACAACATTGCCTTGTCAGATGAGGGTGGGATCTTTCATTGCAGACAAAGTGTTTCCCAACTGTGCCTCCTTTCATCCCTCAACCTAGTCCTGACTTCTCATGCTGGCTACCTTATTGTCACACACCGATTCATTAATTAATTGCAGGACTAAAGTGTGGAGTTTAAATCATTTTTTTGTTAGAACTGCCTTCCTGTGAAAGGTGGTTGTTTAAAGTCAGCCGCACAAATCTCTTTTATTCTAGGCAATATGTCTAAAATGGCTTTTCAAACAATGTGTGGTTTTCGTTCATAGGAACCTTTCCACATTCCTTTTCTCCCTCCCTTTTCTTTTGGCATGAAATGTTCTTAAAAATAGCATCTCGGTTCAGTGATACTTTAATGGGTTGGTTAGAAGCATGGAAATTAATTGACTTTTAAAACCTGGAATGAATTGGCTGTTCTGGCTTTGCTGAAGAGTCAAAAATGCCATTGCCTCTCAATTTTGTAGCACACATAAACAATCACATCTTGGGAATTCCATAATCCTGCTGGGAATGCCGAAAGGGGGGAGTGTGGACACAAGCACCCATCTTCTGCAGACCCACCTAACTCAGGATAATGGCATGAGGTGCATTTGGGGAGGTTGCACCAATGGCAGAGAAGCAGGCAGGTGGTGATGTAAGCATATCACAAATTTCCAAGAACCAGAAAAAACAACTTTGCTGCTGGTTGATGGAGAAATTAACACTTTGCTCATCCTTAACTCTCTGTCTCCCACCCCCTCTTTTAAATTCAAATCACACATCCCCAAGGCACCCCCCCCCCAAAGTTCCAAATGACATTTGCAGAGGACAAAGACATGATTGGTCCCCTGTTGTGGGGTGCAGATAAAGAGGTGAGGGGATAGAGAAAGTTTTTTTGGAGAAGGATCATGGGGGTTGTTGCCTGCATTTGCATGCAATCATTAGTTCAGCTTTTTAAAGAAAAAAACCCACAGCTGTATCTTCCTTCCTTCCTGCACTAACCTCTTCCCAAAATTACATCACTCTGAAAATCGTCATCTAATTTTCTCCTCCCGTCTGTCTCAGCCTTCCTTGCTCCTTCCTTCTGCAGTGTCTTTTGAGCATTTGGGAAATTATTTCCCCAGAGAGATGTATTACAAGCACTTTTACAAGACAAATCTCTGAGTGTCAGTTTTGCTTTATTCCCCAGCCTTTTCTTCTTTTTTTTTTAGATCAAGGCAGCTGCCTCTGAAGGTTTTAGATGTGAGCGACATAAAAGTTCTGTTGGGTCAGAGCTTTCCATGAGTACTGGACAACTCCAGTCAAGCCGACCCTCACATGTCAAAGAAGCCTACATTATGTGCTGTAAAAAAAGGTCTACACTTTTATATATATTTATTAAGTATTTTCTCCTCTTAAGACCCACAATTTCAACCATTCAGGTGCAAAGCACAAGAAGATAAAGGGAAAGAAACACTTTGAGAATGTCCAGAATAAATGTGAGGGAAGTGGAAGGAGCTGCACAGAGCACAAAAACTCTGGCCATTACAAGCTACATTCAGCCATCCTTTGATCCAATAACCTTTGGCATTATGCTTCCAACCTCTTCGGTTAGTAATCATAATGACTTATTTAAAAATATGAAAGCTGAGGACACCAAATCCTAAGGAACTGACTGTATTTCCCACTTGGGCATCCGAAATGCAGAGGTGGCGAACATACGCCCAAGGCTTTCTGTAGTTCCAGAAGAGTGTAAGCTATTCCCTTCCTCATTCGCACTGCAGCTGAGGAATGTGAACGAGCCACAAAAGCGAATATTTTGTGAGGTTTCTATTCCTGTGGGATTCCATATAGCACCTGTGTTGCATGCAGGAGATCCTCGATTCAATCCCTGATGCCCCCAATTAAAAGAACCAGGTAACAGGTGAGCGGAAAGACCTCTGTCAATCAGAAGGGACAAATGCTGGGCTCAGTCTGTGAAAAGCAAAAGCAGCTTCTTGCGTTCCCAGAGGTTATGCTCCTCTACAAAGACACATTTGCATTTTTGTAACTTGATGACACAAGCATGAAGCTGCGGCTTGCATGGGTGAGACTGAATTAGTCATCACAGGGCCAGCATCATAGCATTGCTCATATATACTTTAGGTTCAATGCTGTTAATTGAGTCAGTTCACACATTCAGCTGTGAATCATTACAGCAAATTAAGAGGTGTACATATAAGTGCGAACTACCCCTGACTCAGTGTAACAGCTTTCTCTTATCTCTATGTTACAGGGGCTTGGGAAATCTGCTATTTGGGGAGAGGTCAACGCGGGTGGCGCTGGGACCTGGGTGGCGCTGTGGGTTAAACCACAGAGCCTAGGACTTGCCGATCAGAAGGTTGGCGGTTTGAATCCCCGCGATGGGGTGAGCTCCCGTTGCTCGGTCCCTGCTCCTACCAACCTAGCAGTTCGGAAGCACATTCAAAGTGCAAGTAGATAAATAGGTACCGCTCCGGCAGGAAGGTAAACGGCATTTCTGTGTGCTGCTCTGGTTTGCCAGAAGCGGCTTAGTCACACTGGCCACATGACCCGGAAGCTGTACGCTGGCTCCCTCGGCCAATAAAGCGAGATGAGCGCCGCAACCCCAGAGTCGGCCACGACTGGATCTAATGGTCAGGGGTCCCTTTACCCTTTACCTTTACATGTTTTTTTCTGCCACTTCTAGTGAAGTCCCATACAGAGGACACCTTGTCCAGGAAGCACTGGCAGCGCCTACTGTATTCATGGATGCAGCTCAGCACAGCCCGTCTGTGAAAAGCAACTTTGCTTTATCTTCACCCTCTGTTCTCCTCATCATTCCTCAGGTTCTATCTTACCACAAATGCAACATCTGAGACCGGTTTTCTGTCTCTCTTTGTTTTGCTTTTGATCTGAGGCACAATGAAAAGTTTAATCAATCAGCCCCTCTGGACATGCATAATGTGTGGAGTTTTATTAATGTGCTATTATTTTAATTATATTTTACTTCATTTTGAAAAGCAGGATGCTGTAATGACATGCAGCATACAATCCATCAATTTGTGCATTGCCCTCGAAACAGGCTTTTTTTATAATAATAAAGTATCCCTACATTATCATATTTATCTGTTTACTTACTTACTTCATTTATATTCAAGTGTTTGAAAAGGCATTCATAGTCCTGCCCTCCTCCATCTTATCTTCTCAATGGCCCTGTGGGGCAGGTCAGGCTGAGACTGGCTCAAGGTCACCCAATAAGATTTGAATCTTGGTCTCCCTGGTCCTAGTCCAAGACTCTAACCACTAGACCATACTGGATATCAAGTGTCCCACAAGACTCATATCAGTTATGAGAATAAGCCAAAAATAAATATATTTTCTCATGTTTCCTGAATTATTTTTTCTTAAAAACAACTCTTTCTTGAACTGATTAATCACACCACCCCAATGATTTATTCTAGATTAGTCAACATATTGCTGGATTTCCACATAACTGGAATAATCCCTTTCATAACTAGTTCCTATACCAAAAAAGGTGGTTGCTAAGTGTAACCATGTATATCCTATTTTACAGAGAGGGGGAAGGGCCAAAGCTCAGTCACGGAACAGCTGCTCTGAGTGCAGAAGGTCCCAGGTTCAAGAGAGACCCCTGTCTGAAACTGGAGAGCCACTGAGCATCATTTTGAAAGTACTGAACTCAATGGACCAACGGTCTGTCTTTGTGTACAAGGCAGCTTCCCATGTTCCTTTGTTGCCTTCACAACACTCAACATAGCCTTGTTGCAAAATGACTAGGGAAATGAATGACCTGGGGCTAGATCTCTCTCTGTTCCATGAGGTTCCCTTCTCTTGTACATCACTGATGTTCTCAAGCATGCTTATTCCCCCACCTCCATTAATCGGTATTCCAGTTGGAATGGAACTCTATATCATTTTAAATGTCATCTACCTTGGCCTTAGTAGGTTCGGGAAAAGATGGATGCATGTAAATTTCTTTATCCTCACTGAGGTTTGCAGCTTCTTCTGATTTAGTATCATCTCTGAATTTCATTATAGTCTCCTGGTCCAATCTCCAGACTTCTAATGAAGAAGCTATATCAGACCACCCTCCATACCTCCCACACCTCCATTC